TCAGCAGGAGTCCGTGACCACTGTGAAGATTCATCAAAGCCTGAAAAACATCACTGTCGTTCCTAGTCTCGCTAGAGTAGCAGGACTACAGAACACTTGAGCTGGTAAGCTTTTCCTGAGAAGTGTGATCTACTGTGGATGCATTCTTAATCTTTCCTAGAGCATCTAGCAGACTTAAAATAATAACTCTGCAACAGTATCTCTTATTCTAAGGAGATCATTATATAGCATGATTTATGATGTTAATATTACTGTAGGGAATAGGAAACAGTTCTGAGAAAATGTTGTGCTAGATGCTGTAGAAACTGACATCACAAAGCTAATTCCAAAAACCTCACACTCTATGTGCAAGATGCATACAATGTACCTTATACACAGAAAATAAGATACACCAGATGGATAAGCACAAACAGACCAAACCCAAAGATGCGAAGACATGGTATTGTTCTTGCTGCCTGCACCTGCTGTGGAAATGCTGTCATTTCTTTGTAAACATCACAGCAAAGCAGACTCTCGAAGAGGCTTTGAAAAAAGCATGAGTAGCCTAGCAAATACTTACAGGGAGACCTCACAGAGTAGATAACCTGAAGCAAGCACAAAGATACCTGTTTAAAAATGTCAAAAATGTGTGAAGGAACACATGATAGTGGGCAAGGTTAGAATAAGCCTGGGAAATCCTAGAAAGTATTGAATTTGAAGGAAGAGAGAAGGAATTATCCCTGCAAGAACACATATAGGGCAGCCATATGACCACGCTCTCATGTTTCTTGCTTATATTGTCTATATAATAAATCAGCATGGAACAATAGGTGTTTTTTCCTCTGGGACCTTCTTCTTGGTACAAACAAGAAGACAAACAAGTTTGTCTTTGACAAACAGAAGACACCTTTGCTTCAGTCTTACAACTCAATGTTATTAGAGTAGTGTTATATTAACACTTAAGGAAAAATGTTCAAGAATGAGGAAAAAAGGGTAACAAATGAGGTAAAGGAGAAACTTTAAAGAAGTATCATCTAAGAAATGCCAAGCTGACAGAACGTTAAATATTCTGATAATACAAAACCTCTGGCAGTTGGCTTAGTTTATTCTGCTAGGAGAATATCCCAAGCAGGGGCTTCCACAATGCATAGCCCATCTGGAAGGCTGAAGTAATGATGCAAAATCTTGTAATAGCTTGCTGTACAAGGAGAATGACATGAATCAGCACCACCCACAACACCATAAATACTACCACTTACTGTGAAGAGGGGTGTGGTTATGGAGACCAAGAGATATAATTAGTCATATCACAAACACTCATATCACAAACCCCAGTAAAAGGGAAACTGTAGCTATAAAGAGGACAGTGACCCACTATTGTCCCAGGTGATGAATATTCCCCAGGAAAAGAAGAAAGAAAGTCCACTCCAACTTAAGAAATGGCCTGGTCCACACTGAGCAGCCCAATAGTTTGGAAGCTACCACAACAAGAAGCCTTTTCGAATCATCAAAGAAGCCTGCAGTCAAATTAAATGAACAGATCATAGCAGTTACATGGAGGCCTGTGGGGAGGTGGGAGGAGGGAGAGACACATTACCTCTTTTCTCGCAGCTGTCGGGGAAGAGACATGGTTTTCAGCCTCTTAAATCCAGCTGGCTAGGCTCTATTCCTCCACTTCTTGGGCGGTTTCTGGTTGAATAAGATGAACACAGTCAAACCAATTCTCCCTGTGTGAGTCAAGACTCCTTTGCAAGGCCTCAGAGACCTTTTTTTAATGTTTCAGTGTCAAACGATTTCTTCTGTACCTCCCCACCCCCATGAGATTGAGGAAGTACTGGAGAAAAAAAAAAAACAGTCATAAAGAAAGACTGGTTTGTGATGTCTGTTATGTATCGAAACTGCCACTGTTGAGAAACCAAAAGCCCAACAAAAAGCAGAAACTATGAGACACATATTCCATTGTCCACCTCTTCACCAAAACTTTTGCCTCTGTAGAAAGCCAGTATGAGTGGGCTCAACAAATTCTGGTTTGCCCCACCTAAAATGTCCCCATTTATACCCCTACACTAATGTTTGCAAGCTAGGAGGAATACTTCTAATCCCCTCTCGAAGCTCTTCGATGTCCAAGAATCCTCCTTTCCATGGACCAAGAGCCAGGAGGTGGAGCTAAAGAATAAATTTTCAAGTAGGATCAGAAAGTAGGGTCAGGAAATGAAACCTTGTCAGCTAAATCGGTACCAGGGTATCTGGCACTGGAGATTAGGAAATGAGCTCTGAAGGATAGATCAATGCAAGTTAAGACATAAGTCCTTGAAAGGGCAGAGGATCTTTTCACATTCATGTGCTCAAAACAATCCACATTTGCCACCTACAAAGACAAGGTAATGCTCACCCAAAGAGAATCCTGATTGCCCTGCCTTGTGTGCAAAGGGCAGTGATACAGCATTTGTGTAACTTCAGCTGCCAATCTTTCAAGAAGAAAATAAAAGGAAGAAAGTGACAAGGAAACCATCATTTCCTAACACTGCGGTAAGTTGCAGCATAGCTTACCCACCTTAGTCAAAAACTGTCATGTGTTGTATCTTTGCCTCCTCATTTCAGTCTTTGACTCTCTTCCATTTTCCTGTTCAATACATATTTGGTTCCTTCTCCTCCTTCTACTGTCAAGCACAAAAATTCTCACCTGAACAGAGCAAAAGTCAACCAGCATCCTTCAAAATAAAACTCCATTTACAACTGCAATCATCAGCCTTGAGAGTAAACTGCATTTCACTGCATTTTAATTAAGCATTTTCTTCACTCACCTCTTTGTGGATAAACTGAAGGCACCATTATAGAATTTGAGTGGGGATAGTGTCTCTTGATCAGAAGGGACCAGCAGAGTCCTGTAGACCAGCTACAAAATTTTTAACTGTATTTTCTGAGTGAAAATACAGACTTAGCAGAGAAGTTTTAAGTGGTGATGTTGGACAGAAGTATTTCCCCAGACCTTCACACCCTGCTGTGTATTCCATTTGCTTGATTAGGCCTGCTACATGTGCAGTCCTCATGTAACCTGAAGTCAGGTTCATTATTCTCTCCCCTTTGCCTTCAGTAAGAGAGACAATAATCAACATTTCTAACATTCTAACAGATTTTTTTTTCTAAAATTTTAATTTCTAAACCAGATTTTTTTTTCCAAAAAAAACTTAACAGATTTTTCTCTGCAATCCTCTTGCTTTCTCCTGACATTAAGAAGGAAATAGGAACAGCTCACCTTGACCAGAACTCTTAATCACAAAAGCAATACGTATGAACTCAGGAAAATTCCGTGGGGCCCTCACAACACATGCAAAAAGATTGTGGAAAACACAGGAACTGCAAAAACTTTAATAGTAGTGGAAGAGAAAGGCTGGAGGGGTGTCTTTAAGGTAACTGCTTATATTTGATGCATATCATAGTTTTGACAAGAAAATCATAAAAAGGATATTCTAATCTTCTCAAATATCTTGGAAGATATCTGTATACAGTGCAGGCAAAGAGACAGAGGATATGACACAATGCAAAAATACTTACTCAGTGTTTACCTGGAGACATGGCTTTTTAAGAACAAGTCAACAGTCAACCTCACAGACAAATTGTCTGTGCAGCTGCTTTGCTGTAAGCCGAATAAAGCAAACTGAGAGCAGCTCCTCTGTTCCACTACTCTCTACTAGAGATTACAGCCAGTAACAATACTAATCTGACAGAGTAATGCTAAACCTGCTAAGAAAGTTTCTGATTCTGCAATATTGTCCTATTATGAACTAAGACAAAACCAAGATCTTTTTTCTGACAAAAAGGCAGATTCCTACCTCAGAAGAGTGGATAGATGATTGGTTAGAGGGCTCACCGAGGCTGAGAGACTCAGATTTGAAACACTGCTTTTCCATGTTCTTCTGTGCCAAATCAGTGCCTCAACTACCAGGTGTTTTCTACTATTGCGCTACTGTAGTAGGAATATCTATTTGTATTATCTGGGCTGAGGAAATGGGCTGGATCTAGTCAAACCCATACTCCCTCTCTGCTCAAATAATTACTTTAGTATTGATAAACAAATTCCCATTAGAAAATTGATACCATAATGACAGTACCCACATCAAGAGATACATCTGCATTAGGAAAATATCCATCAGCTGATGTGGTCAGCTCCCAGTTTTGAGAAAACCCACCCTTACACCATGCCTGGCATGGTCATTATGGTACTATGCACCAACCCTTATCCCTGTGCAAGAGAAAGCAGGCATGCAGGTACAAGAAATACTAACAAATTGATTAAAGGAGACTACTACGAAAATCCTCCAATGACTGAATCATGACCATATGCTGACACCATTACATACCTTTTCACAGTTCAGCACCTACTGTATTATTTTGGCTGTGTATGCCTGTGAGCTGTGAAATTGTGGCCTTCTGTCTAATGCACAGGTTGCTAGAAAATAATTGTACAAGGATACAGAGCACCTTGGAAAACTGGGAGTATCAGCTATAACCAAACAGCCAGAGCAAGCATGGAATTTTAATGGGAATGTAGTCTCAAATCACTAAAGATACATGAACCAGTAATAAAAGGTAAATCAAAGGAACATAGCGAAAATACTCAGCTGAATCAATACTGATGACAGCCCTACATACCGTGTCTACTAGGGCAGAAGCTCCTGTACCATTTTGGCTGTGCATGTCTGCACGCTCTAGAATAATGGCTTCTCTCTGATACACCTGGTGTTAGAAAAGTGCTGCATAGTTATGTTCAATCACCAGCCATAGAATAAATTTGTTAAGTGACAGATAAAGTGGACAAGACTAATATTCTTAAAAGATGACGCCCTACATACCGTGTCTACTAGGGCAGAAGCTCCTGTACCATTTTGGCTGTGCATGTCTGCACGCTCTAGAATAATGGCTTCTCTCTGATACACCTGGTGTTAGAAAAGTGCTGCATAGTTATGTTCAATCACCAGCCATAGAATAAATTTGTTAAGTGACAGATAAAGTGGACAAGACTAATATTCTTAAAAGATGACTGGTC